TTTTTTTTTTTTTTTTGCCATTGATACGAGTCGAATTTTTATATAAATTTAAAGTGAAAAAATTTTCAAATTTATTTAAAATTCATTAACCTTCCTATGAATCGATTTTGAATTTTAAGCGAAAAATTGTACGATTCTGCGTAACATCTTTCTATTGACACGAGTTTTTGTAAAAGTTTTAAATGAAAAAAATTTGCAAATTTATTTAATCTTGCAATTAATATGAATCGATTTCGAGTTTCAAAGAAAAAATTCTGCGAATCTGCGTATATTTTTTGAATAAATCTACTGATATAACGTTCGATGATGCTGCATTCGTATTTTTACAATCAACGTTTCGACGATTAATAATATTTAATAATTGAAAACGAAAGAGGAGAAATGAAGGTTAATTATAGGCAAATGGCAATTCTTTTCAGGATTATTATTAACTTTATACGTTCGAAATTATACAATATAGCAAGGGCAATAGAATATTTATAAAACAGCTTTGAGATACGACGATATATTACCCGCGATATTCACAGCGAACGCAGTATCCGTACAGTGTTAATAACGAGTTCACGTTTATTCCTATGTATTACGTTTATATAATATTCGTTTGACAAAATTCCACGCAGTTTCTCTCAACAAGAACAACGTGCTTGAATAAATATTCCATTGTCTCTAACGTTGTAACGATGTGTTATGTCTCCTACCTCTGTATATCGTATCCATGGAAGGAGAATTAATTACCAAACAGTTGATGCAACGATGCGAAAACATTGCATACTCCATACAACCAATTTAATATTTATACAAGAAATCAAATTTCTAGAAAAAAAAAAAAGAAATGTGTTAAATTGTACACAATTGAGAAAAATATTAATGCACAAATAAATAGTTTAATACTTTCAATTCATTATACATCAAATATCAAAATTTCCACCACTTTGTTATATTTCCTTAAAAAGAATCTTGATCTCGATTTTACGCTATACAATCCATCGTCGATAAATATTAACCTTGCCTTGAAACGAAAGCAAACGTGATATATTAATACACAGAATAGTTTAAAACTTTTAATTCATTATCCATTACCTATATCAAAGTTCCATTCTTGGTTCCATTTTCTTATATTTCCTTAAAAAACTTCTTTCGAAAAGAATCTCGATTTCGAATCAATTTTACATAACCTATACAATCGATCGTCGATAAATATTAATCTCGTCGAAAAGCGATATATTAATACAAAATATTAATTAAAAATATTAATACTTTTATTTCATTACCCATTATACGTCGAATATCAAAATTTCCTCCATTTCCTTATGTTCCTTCAAAAAAGCGATCTCGAATCGATTTTACGCTGTCTATACAATCGATCGTCGATAAATATTAATCTCGAAACAAAAACAAACGCGATATAATGAAAAGAAACGCGATCACTTCCATCTCGAAAGAGTTAATACCGTTTAATAGAAGGACAATTAATACGACACGTACTCGTTGGATTAAACCGGTTCGATGGTGGTTGGTTGCCTGTAATAACGAGCTACTAAGTACCCAACCAGTATCCATCGTGCGCCCACTCACGGTTATATAAGCGCGCACGTGAAAATAGATGCACCAAACTATATTCCTAATTTTAATTCTTGATCTTACTTGTAACAATTTAAGAACGAAACGAATTCTACGAAGGATTCTAAGGATTTCTTTATTCTTTCGAATAGAATCCCTCTAATAATTAATCACAATAGAAAAAAATCGTTAGAATTAAAATTACTCTCTTTTGGGTTATTTTACAAAAATATCTTTAAAATAGTTTAACGAAACGCACGTGTGTGAAACGATATCATACGTACCGATCCTCGTTGAAGCACGTTGCGGTTGCAGGACGAAATGATCGATCGATCATTGAGCGACACACGAGGCGCGAAATAGTACGTGTACACGTCGGTTGGAACCCACAGCGACACCAGCGACGAAACACATTCACACTCGCGGAACACACCTCCTTCACCTATCTTCTCTTCGCAACAAGTTGAGTTTCCGATTCGACACTTTCTTTTTTTTCCGTGAAAAACAAAAATTCTCTCCAACCGTGAAGAAAAAGTTGTCGAATTCAACAATTCTTCAAAGATTATCACGTAGATATAATTGCTATACAACGAAAGATAAAAGTTTTGTCTCGTAGTGCTGATTCGTTCATCGTGAAGCTCCGTTCGTATAAAGTGTAGGAAGCTGTCCCTTCAAATATCCCTATTTGATTGGCTTAAACTTTAATTTAGAAGACACTTGAGAATCGCGTTGAAAATCGATGAGAAATAGAACATGATGATATCCGTGACGTGAAACTTTGTTCGACTCTCTCTCTTTCTCTCTCTCTCTCTCTCGTCGAGTAGATCCGAGTCGTTCGAAAGGTTAAGGTCGGCAGACGGAATCGGCGGGCCACAAAAAAAAAATACACATCGTGGATCCAGCGTGGACGTTTCGTTACGAGTGTTATCGATTCGCACGTTGCACAATCTCGCGTAACTTTTTCGTCGTCCAATCGGGAGTCGCGAAACAACACAACGCGTAAATGGCCGCTTTTACATTCAACGAGCAACACGTGCGCGCCTCCTCGACACCTTTTCTCCTTCCTTTTCGTCTATCTCTCTTTCGTAAGAACTTTCGTAAGAATCGTGATGAAAAAAGGTGGAGAGAAATACGAACACCACCATCCTCCTTCTCTCTTCGACAAGATTCGAGAGGAAGAAAAACGGGAATTACTTTATTAATAAAGGGAGAGAAAGTTCGAATCCTCGTGGTGGAGACGAGTCACGATGTGGATGGTGCACGCGTTGGAAGGCAGTGTGG